CGTTGCGTCGTGCTCGTATCGGGTACTCTCCCACCAGACTCTCCTCTGGCACCACCGCCTCGGTCACCCCTCTCTGTCGAGTCTACGCAGCATGCACTCTCGTCTCCTTGTCTCTGGCCTTCCCAGGTCCCTGCCCCCCCTCCCGCGCTCGCTTGCCCCGCCGTGCCTTCCCTGCGCCGAGAGGCGGCAGCGCGCCGCTCCTCACTCCTCCCCGTTTCCTCCGACCACTGCTCCTCTGCAGACTCTCCACATGGGGCCCGACCCCTGTCCATGGGACGGACCAGGAGCGCTACTTCCTGCTGGTCATTGACGACTACACGCGCTACACCACGGTCTTCCCATTGCGCAGCAAGGTGGACGTCCGCAGTGTTTTGATCCCCTGGATCCGCGCTACTCGTCACCAGCTGCGCGAGCGGTTTCGGCGGGACCTTCCAGTCCTGCGTCTGCACTCTGACAGGGGCGGTGAGTTCTCTTCCGGCCTCCTTGCGGAGTTCTGTCGAGACGAGTGCATCGTCCAGTCGTTCACGCTTCCGGCCTCTCCGCAGCAAAATGGGATTGCTGAGCGTTGCATTGGCTTGATCATGGAGGTTGCTCGTACCTCCATGATCCATGCGGCTGCTCCCCATTTTCTGTGGCCGTTTGTGGTCCGATACGCCGCGCATCAGCTCAACCTCTGGCCCCGTGTCTCTTTGCCAAAGACCTCGCCCACACTCCGTTGGACGGGAGAGGTTGGCGATGCGTCGGCGTTTGGGGTCTGGGGCGCGCTCTCCCTTGTTCGAGATACCACCGCGAGCAAGCTCTCTCCTCGCACTCTCCGCTGCGCCTTCCTGGGCTTCCCCACCGACGCCCCGCCGTGGCAGTTTTACCACCCTCGCTCGTGTCGAGTCCTGCCTCCCAGGACGTCACCTTTGACGATTCTGTCTGTTTCTACAGGCTCCACCCGCACGCGTCCCACCCGGTCCCCCTGGCGCCTCTCTTCCTGGTACCAGTTCCCCCCCCGGTAGACCCCCTCCCCCCACAGGGTCCTGCTCCCTCAGGTGTGTCTCAGGTAGACCCACCCCCCTTGGTTCAGCCTTTCGTGATCTCCTCTGACACCTTTGGCCCGGCTGAGGGGGGTGACCCTGCCGCTGACGACACGGCGGCCACTCGTCGCTCTCCTCGCTTGGAGACCCCTGCTGGTTTTCCGCCTCGATCGTCTTCGCCGCCTCTGTAGCCTGTAGCTGTGGACACTGGTGCTGCTGGGGGTGGTGACACTGGGGGTGAGGACTCTGGAAGTGCTGGTCCTGGGGGTGCTGCGACTGGGGGTGAGGGTTCTGGGGGTGCTGAGACTAGGGGTGAGGGTTCTGGGGGTGCTGACTCTAGGGGTGCGGCGAGTCCTAGTGGTGGTGGGGCCGTGGGTGCTCCTACTGCAGGTCCTGGCGTTGGACAGCAGCAGCTGCCTAGTCGACTCGAGACGCCCTCACCGCAGCAGCTTCGTGAGTGGGTCGTTCGGCGAGGCCGCTCTGGTGCTGGAACTTGGAGTTTTACAGATCCTGCAGCTGCTGGTGCTGGAGGTACTACTGGAGGTGCTAGGGGTGCTGGAGCTACTGGTGCTAGAGGTGTTGCTGGTGCTGGAGGCGTTGGAGCTGGAGGTACTGGAGGTACTGGAGCTGCTGGTCCTGGAGGTGCTCGTACTAGAGTTGCTGGAGCTGCCGGAGGTGGTGGTGCTGCTGGTGCTGGAGGTGCTGGAGGTGCTACTGGAGGTGCTGGGGGTGCTGGAGCTGCTGGCACTAGAGGTGCTGGTGCTGCTGGTTCTGGAGGTGCTGGAGGTGCTGCCGGTGCTGGAGACGCTGGAGCTGGAGGTACTGGAGGTGCTCGAGCGGCTGGTCCTGGAGGTGCTCGTACTAGAGGTGCTGGTGCTACTGGAGCTGGAGGTACTGGAGGTGCTGGAGGTGCTGGAGGTGCTGCTGGTGCTGGAGGCGCTGAAGCTGGAGGTACTGGAGGTGCTGGAGCTGCTGACGGTACGGGTACTGCGCCGCGCCGACCATTTTTCTACCCGCAGCCGCAGTCAAGCGGCACTTCGCCATGTTCTTAGTCTCCCGTCTTCCACTGGCCTCACTCCACCTCTCCTGTGTCCACCGTCTGCCCCGTCTCAGACACAGTTGCCGCCTGGCTCCCCACTGCCTCCTCCTTCTCCCTACACTGAGCTGCCAGACTCCCTGATTGAGCGTCGTGAGCCTGAGTCTCGTGCCTCCACACCTGTTCGTGCTCGTCTTGTCGCCCGTCCTCGTCCTCCTGCTGTCCCAGGCACTCACGTTATGGCACTTCGTCCTTCCACTGTTCCACAGCATGTTGCCCTGCCGTCACCTCAGGCGTCCTCTCTTCCTGACGTGCCTGACTTTGAGTCTGACCTTGTTCGTGCTGCCAGTCCTACTGTCACTCGTCTCCTCGCTACTGTCGTCACTGACCCTGACTTTGAGTCTACTGCTGCGTTTGCCCTAGTCACTGAGCTAGTCGACTTTTCTGCTAGGAGTCGTCGCGACTACGTTGCGAGTCTTGTTACTGAGTCTGATTCTGTCTGTCCTCCGTCCGTTGGGAGTGAGCCTACCCTTGGCTGTGACGTCCTTGAGAACAGGTTGTTTGAGCTTGAGTGTCTTGCGGCCGCTTTACCTCGTTTCGCATCCGTGCTGCTTTGCCCTGAGGGAGACCCGGATCCACTTGACATCCCTACCCCGCGGTCTTACGCTGAGGCGATCGCGGGTGAGTACTCCTCTCAGTGGCAGACAGCCATGGACACAGAGATGGCTTCCTAGAAGTCCACAGGCACCTACGTCGACGAGGTTCCTCCTCCTGGGGCGAACATAGTCGATGGCATGTGGATTTTCAGAGTGAAGCGGCCGTCGGGTTCTCCGCCTGCCTTCAAGGCGCGTTACGTTGCTCGAGGCTTCAGTCAGCAACAGGGGGTCGACTTCTTCCAAACCTTCTCCCCCACCCCGAAGATGACTACTCTTCGGGTGTTGCTGCACGTCGCAGCACAGCGTGACTACGAGCTGCACTCCCTAGACTTCTCCACAGCTTTCTCGCAGGGCAGCCTTCACGAGGAGATATGGCTGCGCCGCCCACCTGGCTTCACTGGGTCGTTTCATGCGGGTACCCAGTGGAGCCTCCGGCGGCCAGTCTACGGTCTCCGCCAGGCGCCCCGCGAGTGGCACGACACACTGAGGACGACACTTGCGGCTCTTGGGTTTGCTCCTTCCTCTGCTGACCCGTTGCTGTTTCTACGCACCGACACTTCTCTGCCGCCGTTCTACGTTCTCGTGTACGTCGACGACTTGGTTTTTGCTCTGCTAACACTGAGGCACTGGCCCTAGTGAAGGCGGAGCTGCAAGAGAGACACAACTCCTGGGTGAGCTGCGAGGCTATCTTGGCTTCCAGATCACCCCCGAGCACGGTGCACCATCACCCTGACTCAGTCACACATGGTGCACCAGGTCCTTCAGCGCTTCGGATTCCAGTTCTCCTCGCCACAGCCCACTCCTCTGCCTACAGGCCACTCGCTCTCAGCTCCACCTTCGGACGAGTCCGTAGAGCCGAGTGGTCCGTATCCAGAGCTTGTGGGTTGCCTCATGTACCTGATGACGTGCACACGACCTTACCTCGCGTACCCTCTCAGCCTCCTAGCTCGCTACGTGGCTCCCGGTAGACACCGAAAGGTGCATTGGGATGCTGCTAAGAGGGTACTGCGTTACTTGTGCAGTACATCGGGCATGGAGATCGTGCTTGGAGGACGGGGTTCAGTGGTACTCACAGGACACTCCGACGCTTCTTGGGCCGACGACCAGGCGACTCAGCGTTCGTCACAGGGTTACACCTTCAGTCTTGGCTCTGGTTCTGTCTCGTGGAGGTCCACTCGCTCGTCTTATGTGCTTGGTTCCAGCTGTGAGGCCGCGATCTACGCTGGGGCTGCATAGGAGCTACGCTGGCTGACCTACTTGCTGACCGACTTGGGGGAGCGGCCTCGTTCTCCTCCAGTTCTGTACGTCGACAACAAGGCCATGCTTGCCTTGTGTCATGAGCAGAGACTGGAGCACAGAACGAAGCACATTGCTCTTCGCTACTTTCTTGCTCGAGAGCTGCTGCAGCGTGGTCAGCTTCGCCTTTCCTACGTGGCCTCTCGGGCCAACACTGCTGATGTCTTCACCAAGGCCCTCGGGTCTGGTGATCATCAGCGTTTTTGCACTGCTTTTGGGCTTCTGCCTACTCTGCCTCACTTGTCTCACTGCTTGTCTCTTGATCTTACACTTGTTGTACACTGATATCTATATTTAATCCTGCATGTTTACTCTTGCTATGTTGTGATCAGTTTACTGCCTTGCTATTATAACTCTGCATGTGAACTGGCCTTGTGGCCGCTTGCTTGTGCTCAGGATGCGTGGTGATCTTGAGATCCACTTTGGGCTTTACTTTGCTTTGTTCTCTTGCCTGACTGGTCTAGTGACCGTTTGTTGTGTTGGCTATCCCTCACTTTGCCTAGGGGGGTGTGTCAAAACATATTTATATGTTGTTAGTTCTGCTAGGCTACAGTGAGGTGCTCAGTATAGAGTACAGCCCCAGTTAGGGTTTTCTACTTGTATCTCACTCTTGCATAGTTCAATCATTCCTGCGCTGTTCTCTCGACAGCAGCAGCAGCAGCAGCAGCAGCAGTGGTAGCAAACAGGTACGGCAGCAAAAGCAGCTCGGCTGGGCAGCTAGGCAGGGCGGCTCAGCTGGGCGGCTCAGGCAGGGCGGCGCAGCTCGGCAGGGCAGGGCGGCGCAGCGCGGGCGGCGGCAGCAGCTTAGCAGCAGCTGCAGCGTGTGCAGGGCGTGTGCAGGCAGTGCAGGACAGCGCGTGGGCTGTGCGGGCAGAGCACGGGCCGTAGGGGCAGCGTGCGGGCAGTGCCAGCAGCGTGCGGGCAGTGCGCAGGCAGGGCGCGCGGTGCGCGGGCCGGGCGCCGGCGGTGCGAGCAGCGAGCGGGCAGCAAATGCAGCGTGCGGGCGGCAACGTGCGGGCAGCGGGCGCAGCGTGCGGGCAGGGCGCGCGGCGAGCTCAGGCAGCGCGAGCAGGGCGCGAGCAGGGCAGCGTGCGGGTCGCGCGCTGGGCAGCAAGCGGGCAGCACGTAGGGCAGGGCAGAGCGCGTGGGGTAGCGCAGGCAGGGCAGCGTGAGGGACGCTGTTCAGGCAGGGCAGCGTGAGGGACGCTGTTCAGGCAGGGCAGGAACGAACGGGCAGGGCAGTTCGGGCAGTTCGAAACTACCGCCATCGCCCGGATATAAGACGTATATGTCTTATCTTATACATTAGAAAAAATGCTTGGGTTGTCTTGTATTTGGGACGGTTTAGGGTGTCTTATAAGTCGTATAAATGGAAATAAAATTAAGAACTGTGTAACACTTGCAAAGTGTGTAGAAACCACCCAGGGGGCAGATTCATTGAATTCGGCCGACCTCGGTGGTGATGCATGCGTGGCCAGCACATCCCACGTGAGGGATGTAGCAAAGCTGCCTGTGCTGGCAACATCCCTCCGTGCTGGCAGCATCCAATGATGCTGCCAGCGTCGTTTTGCTGCCAGCAGCGCATGGATGCTTCCAGAACGCTGCTGGCAGCACGATGGCAGCGTGAGGGCTGTCATGTGCTGTCCTCTACGAGGAGATTCCTCGTGGAGGAGCGGCTCGGCAGCCTTCATTTGGTGCTCAAGAAGGTTGAGATTAGCTCAACCTTTGCTCTCGGCAGGCTCAACCATGCACAGCAAAGTCCCTGTAGGCACGGCATCCTCTCGCCCTAACTTCCAGGTGAACAACTACGGGCGAATCAACTCGCCCGGTGATGATATCCGTGTAGCCATGGCGAAGGATACGCGCAAGGCGGGATGCTCTACCGCCGCCTCTGGTGCGAGCTGTGACGAAGAGGACGGCGAAGAAGAACACGGCGACGACGGCGAGGAGGATTGGCCGGAAAACGGCCACGACGACAGCGCGTCGGGGGTTGAAATCCCTGTTGGCGACATCGACGACGATGATTGGTGGAATCGGCCGGTTGGCGAGGACGACGAGGTGGAAGAGTGGCGGGCTGGTGACTCGGACAATGACGTAGCTGCGGGTGCTGATGGTGAGCACGCTGAGGCAGCGGCGCATGCAACGGATCAAGCCCCTGCGGCGGCGACGGCGGAAGATGTGCATGCGGGTGCGACGGTGGATGCGGATGCGGATGCGGTTGCGGATGCAGACGACGAAGCGGAAGCGGAAGCGACGACCGAAGCGGAGGCAGAAGCGGATGCGGTTGCGGTTGCTGCCGTGGATGTGGAGGTAAATGCGGATGCGGATGCGGACGCGGAGGCGGATGCGGATGCTGCGAAGGGAGGTGCTGATGCAGTCTTCTTCGACGGTGAAGAAGAGGAAGACGACCCTTGGAGCATCACGGCGGACGAGGACGTGCCTCTGCTGAAGCGGAGGCTCCGTCATCGCCTTCATCCCAAGAAGCGAGCCCGTGTGGTGCTCTCCGATGACGACACTTCGGGGAGGAGCGTCAACCGCGCCTCACTCCTGCAGACAAAGGAAAGGCCAAGGTTGCGGAGGTCCCTGCTAAGGCCACCGTACGTCGCAGGACAAGCAACAAGAAGCGGAAGAACGACGGCGACCCGGGTTCCAGCACGGGTGCTGCTAAGAAGAAGAAGAAGAAGACGCCGAACAAGGACGACATCGTGGTCAACGAGGCGCTCGGCAGCGACGATGACTACGCGGAGGCTGCAGGCCCGATTCCATCATTCCCCGAGAAGGCGAAGCCGAAAGACCCCACCCTCCGTAATCCCAACTCCCGTCCCCCTTCCCCTCGCAGCAAGGAAACTAAGAAAACGCAGCGCGGATGGACAGTACACGAGAAACTGTAGTAGGCACGCCGCTACCAGGAGCTCCGCTCCCTCAAGAAGGCCTCGGTGGAATCCACCGCGTCCATCGCCTGCATCAGACGCTGGAGCGCGGAGGCTGCAGCGGGCCTTTACAAGGGAGCGGCGAACTGCCGCAAGCGGATGCACGGGGCGGGCCGCCACTCACACTACCCCGACATGGAGGCGACTTTGTACCGCTACATCTGCCTGCAGCGCGCGAATGGGGTGGCGATCACGGTGAAAGACACGCAGAAGTGGAGCCGCGAGTGGATGAAGAAACACTACTCCGTGAAGACCTGGAACGAGAGCTCACACTGGAGCCAACGGTTCCGTGACCGCTGGAACTTGGTCATGCGGGTGAAGACCAAGGTCGGCCAACGGCTATCGGCAGGTGAGTGGTTAAGGGAGTGAATCCGCGCTTGATTCTTGACTGTATGTGCCTAGAACTGCTGTGTCACCTCTCATGTTTCTACCCATCCCCTCCTGCTGTGCGGTGTTTTTCCTGCGCAGAGTGCGCTAAGGACTGCGAGTCGTTCTGGAAGTTTGTGCGCATCAACAGCACAACATCGACCCGGCCCGCATCATCAACGCGGACCAGACGCCTCTCTTCGTTGAGATGCCGGCCGAGAGGACGATCGAGCACCGTGGCGCGCCCTCGGTCCCAATCCGCACGGCAGGATATGAGAAGACGCGGCTGACGGTGATGCTCGCGTGCACCGCAACCGGGGAGAAGCTGCGCCCGTAGGTGTGGTTCAAGCTGAAAAACGTGCCGAAGTGTGACATTCCAGACGGTAAGCTAACCGAATTCTGCCTGTAGAGCTTGCCCTTCTTGTCCTTCTTGTCAAGACTGTAGAGCTTGCCCTTGTCTGACCCCCCTCTCTCCCCTCTGTGCCTGGTAGGAGTCGTGTGCCAAGCACAGGATAACGGGTGGATGGACGAGAGCGCTGTGCAGACCTGGCTGACCAAGGAGGTGCTGCCCCATCTCAACCCCCAGAGCGGCCAGAACGCGAGGCGTGCGATGTTGGTGTTGGACTCCTACCGAGGCCACATCACCCAGGGCATGCTCCAAGCCTACCGTACGCATAGCATCACCCCTGCAGTAATCCCAGCAGGTTGCACGAGCCAGATTCAACCCCTGGACGTCTCCATCAACCGGTGCTTCAAGGCCGCGGTGCGCGCACGCTACGCCAGGTGGTTTATGCGTGAAGGGATTCACCTGAAGACGAAGAAGGGTGGGTCAATTTTATACAAGTTCAGCGTTGTTACCCTTTCATGTCCTGCTTCACCCCGATTGAATTCTCTAACGGCGTGCTGTCCCTGCCTCTGTCCCACTCTCAGGGAACCTGCGGAGGCCTCCGCACCCCGTGGTGCTGCAGTGGATTGCGGAGGCGTGGGATCAAGTCCCCAAGCAGGTCATCATTGACGCGTTCCGCCACTGTGGGATTTCAAGCAAGCTGGACGGGACAGAGAACCGCCTCGTGATGTCTCACCTGCGCGCGAGGAGCACTACCGATGTCTCTGAGGACATGACCCTTGGGGGGACCACGGGCGACAACACGCGCCTGCTTGGGCATGCTCTTGAGGAGGAGGAGGAGGAGGAGGAGGAGGAGGAGGAGGAGGAGGAGGAGGAGGAGGAGGAGGAGGAGGAGGAGGAGGAGGAGGAGGAGGAGAAGGAGTAGGAGGAGGAGGAGGAGGAGGAGGAGGAGGAGGAGGAGGAGGAGGAGGAGGAGGAGGAGGAGGAGGAGGAGGAGGAGGAGGAGGAGGAGGAGGAGGAGGAGATTCAGGCGGAGGGCGTCTGGGAGGTGGCCGTGGCAACCGGCCTGGAGGTGCTGTACCAGGAGACCCCCAACTACCGCGGAGCGGCGGCCGAGGCTGACCGCATGATCGAGCCAAGGCAGACGGCTAGGCATGCCTAGCGAGTGCCAGACCTGGGTGTTAGGGAGCCTGATCCTGATGTTAGTGCAGATGAGAAGGCCGTGACGGAGGGGGGCTAGGTATAAGTAGAAATTCATGAATGTACATTCATGTACCCCCGATAAGAAAGTAAGGATCGTTTAGAAGACACACCCCCCCCCCCCCCCTTTATAAGATAACCCCGAAACCCTTGTTCCGATTACAAGACACTCTCTTAAGTCGTACACACATGTAGGTGTCTTATAATGAGGAACACCCGTGTATAAGAGACACCCGTTTAATAGACACCCCCTGTCTTCTATTCAACACTGTCTTATATCCGGGCGATGACGGTAGCAGTGGGCCCTAACGGAGCGGTCCTACGGAAGGACCTGCTCTGAATACCATGTTAGAGATAACGTGCAGGAATGATTGACTAGAAGCATGAGATGAGTACAGTACAAGTACTAGGTCTAACCCTAAAGTGTTGTACTCAGTAGAGGCTACCCCACTACAGCCTACAGATATACAAACACAGTTTGACACCTGAATCAGTAGGGTAGAACCTACACCGTTATACGGTACTGAAACGTCAGTACGCCAAATAATCACTGGTACGGTATACTGAATTTCCAGCACCACAAGTAATTCACTAATGCTGTTTTTTCAGGACAAACACACTAGACCGTATACTGATTTCAGGAAATTCAGGATAATCTATCCTGATAACATAGGGCTTTGACACCAACCACCATATCAGACTTTGTTTTAATGACAAGCGACTGGACACAGAAACCAATCATGCTCGACCGCCGCAAGAGGTTTTTCCTGCCTCGCGAGTTGTGTTTCAAACCAAAGAAGGTAACCCTGTTTTTGGCGACTTCAAGTTCAAGAATCTTGAAGTCGCCAGCTAGAATAGTGAATCCCATCCCAACTTGAAAGAGTGTTGGAACTAGAAGGGGGGGATCACTATTTTGCCTATCTTGAGGCCTGTCCTTACATCCAGGGTGTCGCAACTGTAGAGCTGATGATTTCGGGGTGCTTACAGCAGAACACCAAGTACAGTAAAAGTGAAATCAGCATGCAAGGCCTCATTTTGGAGCCCCTGAATCACACAAAAACGAAACACTAGATTCTCTGCCTACCTTGGAATATACCTATGTAACATGCAATAAGCAGTCCCACTAAATATATTTGACTGTGACCATCGTGGATCCACCATCCTAGTGACGGGCGTCACAGGTGCAGCTTGTCCCGCCAGAACTTGAGCTGCTCGTCCACACGGGCAGCACCGGTGGAGCCGAAGGAGGTGAACTTGGTGATGGAGTTGTGCACGCCCAGGAACGAGTACACGTCCGCCTCGAATATCGGGTTGATGGCCCTCAGCTCCTCCAGCGACAGCGCACTCAGCTCCACTCCGCGCGCCACCGCTATGGCCACCGCCCGCCCCACCACGTCGTGCGACGTGCGGAACGGCATGCCCTGCTCGCCAATACCGTCGGCACATTCATACGGAAGGGGTGGCGAGGGGGGTGGGGTGGGAAGGGAGAAGGGGAAGGAGCGGTGCAGGATGAGGTGTCTTGTTGCACTGGTGGGCAGACTCATGGCGTATGACTTGACTGTGTCAGACTGGCAGGGGGCGGATAAAGCAGGTGAGCGTTGCACGGACATGTCACATGCAGCGCAGCACTCACCACTCGGGCAGCACCCACCCACCCACCCACCTTGTACACGAGGTAGTCCGCCAGCGTGGTGGCGTCGAGGTGGCCAGCAGGCAGTGACTGCTCGATGCGCGGGCGGTTGAACGACACGTTGGCAGCAAACTCGGCGGTGACCTCGAGCGAGGCGAGCACGGTTTCAACGCTGTCGAAGAGCGGCTCCTTGTCCTCCTGCAGGTCGCGGTTGTACGCCAGTGGCAGCCCCTTGCACAGCACCAGCACCGTCATCAAGTCGCCGATGACGCGTGCCGCCTTGCCGCGAACGAGCTCCATGGGGTCGGGGTTCTTCTTCTGCGGCATGATGCTGCTGCCCGTTGACACGCGGTCCGACGGCGTGAGGAAGCCAAACTCCTCGGACGCCCACAGCACCCACTCCTCCGCCAGGCGCGACAGGTGCACGGCGATGATGCTGTTGCCCGCCAGCAGCTCTATCAGGAAGTCGCGGTCCGACACCGCGTCCACACTGCCCTCCGTGCTCCATGCCGCACCATGCCATGCAGGGGGTGAGGAGAGGAGAGGCAGGGATGAGGGAGAGGTGATGAGAGACTCACACTGGCGGCCGGCTGAAACATGGTGCTCAAAGGGGTGGTACGCACACCTCACCGCACTGCACTGCATGCTCTACACGCTGTGGGGTCCGCAGCATTCACCTGCCAACTGCGTCTCTGCTGCCCATTCACGCCACCCCTCCTTGCGCCACGTCCTACCTCTGCTGTTGCTCCCCTTCGCCCGTGCCCCCCTCCCTTCCACCCTTACCCTTCCGAACCCCCCCCCTGTCCCTATCACGCTCCCACCTACCCCCCTATCCGTCTCTGTCCCACCAGAGGCGCACCTGTTTCGGAGAGGCGCGGAGAAGCCGAGCGCGGAGGCGGTGAGGTGGCGGTCGATGGGCAGCCCCGTGCCCGCCAGCGCGCAGCTCCCCAGCGGCGAGAAGTTGAGCCGCTCCCCGCAGTCCCTCAGTCGCCCCGCGTCCCTCTCCAGCTGCGCGCGCGCCCAAGCACCATGGAAAGAGGAACACAGGGGCGGGAGAGCAGAGCAAGAGGAAGGGGAGAGGTTGAGGATGGAGCAATGCGGCGATGCAGTGGTGCATGGCAGGTCTCGTGCGCCGCCCATCCAAGGTGAGTGCCAAAGCTGAATTCGTTCCGCCGCTCACCATTCCGTTCCACCACTTTTGAGTCGACTCAAAAGTCACCACCCACCACATGATTGCGCGACGCACCATTTCGACGTAGGCGAGCAGCACGTGCGCGAGGAGCAGCGGCTGCGCGCGCTGCAGGTGGGTGTAGCCGGGCACCACCAGCCCCGCGTTCGCGTCCGCCAGCCGCACCAGCGCCGCCTGCAGGCGCGCGATGCGGTCGAGCAGCTGCGCGATGGCGTTGCGGCACCAGAGGCGCACGTCCGTGCAGACCTGGTCGTTGCGGCTGCGCGCCGTGTGCAGCTTCTTGGCCGGCTCGCCCACGAGGTCCGTGAGCGCCGCCTCGATGTTCATGTGCACGTCCTCGCGGTCCGCGCGCCACTCGAACAACCCCGCCTCGATGCGCCGCTCGATCTCCTCCAGCCCGCCCACGATCGCGTCGCGCTCCGCCGCCGTCATCAGCCCCTGCGGCAGGGCGGGGCGGGGCGCGGGGTGAAAGGTGTGCGAACAGCGGAGGGGGAAGAGAGAGGTGAGCGACACAGCACGCGACGCAGGTGGCGAAATGACGGTGGCGGAACGAGGGATGCGCGGACGGCAAGGGAGGCGGAAGGGAACTGGTAAGCTGAGGGCAGAATGTGGCGCCGAGCAGGTGGTGAAGGAGGAGCGCAGCGCGAGGAGGCGGCAAAGAGGCGGCATCGAGAGGAGGAGGCGGTGATTGGGGGGGAGGCTCACGCGTGACAGCGGCAGCATTGCAATTCCACAGGGATCTGGACGCGTGGCTACCATGTTACACGTATTCGCTGATTAGATCGCACATACCATTCAATCATCGGGGTGCCTCGAAATCGCTCAATGCCACCTCTTACGACACTTCCAGCACTTGCGGCGCGGGCTCACCTGCTGCGCGAGCATGGCGGCGTGCGCCTTGCTGCCCTGGATGTCGAAGCGGTACAGCTTCTGGTCGTACGACACCGACTGCCCGAACCGCTCCACGGCCGGCGTCACCGCCTCCTCGAACCGCCCGCCCCACAGTTTCTGCTCCTTCCCTTCCGCCGGTGCGGCCGCTCCCGCGCCGGCCGCAGAGGGCGGATTGGAGGCGGACATCTGGGGGGAGGAGCGCGATGGGGTCGCCGTGAATGGGGGGGGCACGCGGACAACGGCAAGGCGCGGCGTGAGTTGGTGCGCGGAGGAGAGTGGCGCTGAGGGCCGGGTGCGCACGGCAGAGAACGCGGAGGAGCAAGGGGAGGCCCCGGCGGCGTGAGCGATTGCGAGGGACATCGCAGACGGAGGAGGGGCGGCGAGAGGCGAAGTGTGCGCGGCGATCAGATCTCCGTGTCTATGTGCAGGTTGGTAAGCGAGCAAGGAAGATAAAAGTTGAGAAAAAGGGAGCGGACAGACACTGGAAAGAGAAATTTCTGGCATCGCTCCTGAAGAACATGGGAGCATCACGGCTGACGTGGCCGTAGCAAGGGCAGAGTAGAAGTACCCAACTTGCTGGGCGGCGCTGGGAGTCGGCGATTGGTGCCACGTGGTCAATTCGAGAAAGAGAAGCCAATTGTAGAGGCGCCGCAGTGCGTTTACTGCTTGTGATTGGTCCAAGAAACTAACAAGAAAGTGCACCAGATACGCGCCTCAGTACATCCATGTCGATGTTAATCAATGGGGATCTATGTCCAAGTGTTACGAGTGCAATTGAGTGATCTAAATATGGTTGCACTATCTAAGCAAAAAGGTACATTGAGCGAAGGAATGAGCGACTGTTAAATAGCGAACTAGCGTGGTAACGGTAACGAGCGAGCTGTGGGTGCGCGACGGGCCTGGCGCCGAGGTTGGGGATTGTCGAGGCGGAGGACCGGAGCGCGGTTTACCAACCTATGTGAGGTTGTGTCGCGATGTGAACAATGGTTGAGGCGAGTGTCGCGAGATGGTAAAGGTTTACTGTTGGGGTACTGTGGCGGGAACAGCCGTGCACGCGGTAAGCAGGGGCGAGAAGCAAGGAAAATCATTTTTCCCTACACCATGGCTCAACTAAAACATCACTTTATAATTCTACAACAGGCCAGAATTTGAAATGTCTAGGATCATAGGCAATGAGCATAAAGATGTATTCAGGCAAAAGTGGAATCCAGTTTTTGAGAATGCTTGATTTTGTAGTTTCAAACATGTCCATCGCCAATCCCAATCTGAGGGGACTACCACAGCTTTTGATAGTCACTAGGAACATTGTAGTGCACGAGGCGAGTGCATGGTGTTGCAGCAACTCATGGTTGATGTGCCAGAAGAAGACCCTGCGTACCTTGTTGCGAGCCTCAATCTCCAAACCTGATGGTTCATTGTTGCGACAGCGGCTCGCACTGGACGAGGTGCAGGAAGGAGAAGGGATGGGTGAAGAGAGGTGACAGATTGAGTAAAGGAAGATGGGCGAATGATAAAGAGAGGGCGCAGGGCAAAGGTGGGAGACAAGGATGGGAGATGTGAGGGATGGGAGATGAGAGGGACGGGAGATGACAAGAATGTACGGTGGCACATGAGAGGGAACAGGGCATGGAACAGTGATTGGGAAGCAGTAGCGGCAGTGAGAGCAGCACATCCCACCCCCCATATTTACACACGCACCTGGCCTTTATCAAAGTCGCACACGCGGCCTGCTCGGAGCGAGTGGGCGTAGTCGCGCAGGAAGGTGTCCCTCACCCACCACTCGGGGCCCTGCCACCACGGTGCACGGCGGCGCATGCAAGGGCGATACATGCTTAGGCAAGGCAGTGAATGAGGGAGAGGAAGTGGAGGGGGCGATAGAGCGGACTTGGATATCGAGAAGACAGTCACTTCCACACACCCGCCCTGGCAGCAACACTGCCAGCAGCGCTCACCCCTGCCTGCCGTCCACTGGAGGGCGCACCTGGTCGTCGTTGAAGAGCTCGGAGCACCAGGAGGAGGAGGGGGCGGAGAAGAGGTCCTGCACGTGGTTGTACACCGCCTCCTCCGTGCGCACGTCCACCTCCGCCCCCTCGCCTCCCCCCCCCCTCGCTTCAAACACCCCCAGCGCCTCCACCTGCCACCCCAAGATTGGCAGGGAGAAGTGCAGGGCACATGCGATCGTGACGCGTGGGCTTCACAGCTATGGACATGCACAAGCTGTAATAGGGGGGGCGAAAGTGCAGTGCATATTCAAGTGCAGTGCATATTCAAGTGCAATGCATATTCAAGTGCAGTGCATATTCAAGTGCAGTGCATATTCAAGTGCAGTGCATATTCAAGTGCAGTGCATATTCAAGTGCAGTGCATATTCAAGTGCAGTGCATATTCAAGTGCAGTGCATATTCAAGTGCAGTGCATATTCAAGTGCAGTGCATATTCAAGCGCAGTGCATATTCAAGCGCAGTGCATATTCAACTGCAGTGCATATTCAAGCGCAGTGCATATTCAAGGGCAGTGCATATTCAAGCGCAGTGCATATTCAAGCGCAGTGCATATTCAAGCGCAGTGCATATTCAAGCGCAGTGCATATTCAAGCGCAGTGCATATTCAAGCGCAGTGCATATTCAAGCGCAGTGCATATTCAAGCGCAGTGCATATTCAAGTGCAGTGCATATTCAAGTGCAGTGCATATTCAAGTGCAGTGCATATTCAAGTGCAGTGCATATTCAAGTGCAGTGCATATTCAAGTGCAGTGCATATTCAAGTGCAGTGCATATTCAAGTGCAGTGCATATTCAAGTGCAGTGCATATTCAAGTGCAGTGCATATTCAAGCGCAGTGCATATTCAAGCGCAGTGCATATTCAAGTGCAGTGCATATTCAAGTGCAGTGCATATTCAAGTGCAGTGCATATTCAAGTGCAGTGCATATTCAAGTGCAGTGCATATTCAAGTGCAGTGCATATTCAAGTGCAGTGCATATTCAAGTGCAGTGCATATTCAAGTGCAGTGCATATTCAAGTGCAGTGCATATTCAAGTGCAGTGCATATTCAAGTGCAGTGCATATTCAAGTGCAGTGCATATTCAAGTGCAGTGCATATTCAAGTGCAGTGCATATTCAAGTGCAGTGCATATTCAAGTGCAGTGCATATTCAAGTGCAGTGCATATTCAAGCGCAGTGCATATTCAAGCGCAGTGCATATTCAAGCGCAGTGCATATTCAAGCGCAGTGCATATTCAAGCGCAGTACATATTCAAGCGCAGTGCATATTCAAGCGCAGTGCATATTCAAGCGCAGTGCATATTCAAGTGCAGTGCATATTCAAGCGCAGTGCATATTCAAGCGCAGTGCATATTCAAGCGCAGTGCATATTCAAGCGCAGTGCATATTCAAGCGCAGTGCATATTCAAGTGCAGTGCATATTCAAGTGCAGTGCATATTCAAGTGCAGTGCATATTCAAGTGCAGTGCATATTCAAGTGCAGTCCATATTCAAGTGCAGTGCATATTCAAGTGCAGTGCATATTCAAGTGCAGTGCATATTCAAGTGCAGTGCATATTCAAGTGCAGTGCATATTCAAGTGCAGTGCATATTCAAGTGCAGTGCATATTCAAGTGCAGTGCATATTCAAGTGCAGTGCATATTCAAGTGCAGTGCATATTCAAGTGCAGTGCATATTCAAGTGCAGTGCATATTCAAGTGCAGTGCATATTCAAGTGCAGTGCATATTCAAGTGCAGTGCATATTCAAGTGCAGTGCATATTCAAGTGCAGTGCATATTCAAGTGCAGTGCATATTCAAGTGCAGTGCATATTCAAGTGCAGTGCATATTCAAGCGCAGTGCATATTCAAGTGCAGTGCATATTCAAGTGCAGTGCATATTCAAGTGCAGTGCATATTCAAGTGCAGTGCATATTCAAGTGCAGTGCATATTCAAGTGCAGTGCATATTCAAGCGCAGTGCATATTCAAGCGCAGTGCATATTCAACTGCAGTGCATATTCAAGCGCAGTGCATATTCAAGTGCAGTGCATATTCAAGCGCAGTGCATATTCAAGTGCAGTGCATATTCAAGCGCAGTGCATATTCAAGCGCAGTGCATATTCAAGCGCAGTGCATATTCAAGCGCAGTGCATATTCAAGCGCAGTGCATATTCAAGTGCAGTGCATATTCAAGTGCAGTGCATATTCAAGTGCAGTGCATATTCAAGTGCAGTGCATATTCAAGTGCAGTGCATATTCAAGTGCAGTGCATATTCAAGTGCAGTGCATATTCAAGTGCAGTGCATATTCAAGTGCAGTGCATATTCAAGTGCAGTGCATATTCAAGTGCAGTGCATATTCAAGCGCAGTGCATATTCAAGTGCAGTGCATATTCAAGTGCAGTGCATATTCAAGTGCAGTGCATATTCAAGTGCAGTGCATATTCAAGTGCAGTGCATATTCAAGTGCAGTGCATATTCAAGTGCAGTGCATATTCAAGTGCAGTGCATATTCAAGTGCAGTGCATATTCAAGTGCAGTGCATATTCAAGTGCAGTGCATATTCAAGTGCAGTGCATATTCAAGTGCAGTGCATATTCAAGTGCAGTGCATATTCAAGTGCAGTGCATATTCAAGTGCAGTGCATATTCAAGTGCAGTGCATATTCAAGTGCAGTGCATATTCAAGTGCAGTGCATATTCAAGTGCAGTGCATATTCAAGTGCAGTGCATATTCAAGCGCAGTGCATATTCAAGCGCAGTGCATATTCAAGCGCAGTGCATATTCAAGCGCAGTGCATATTCAAGCGCAGTGCATATTCAACTGCAGTGCATATTCAAGCGCAGTGCATATTCAAGTGCAGTGCATATTCAAGCGCAGTGCATATTCAAGCGCAGTGCATATTCAAGCGCAGTGCATATTCAAGCGCAGTGCATATTCAAGCGCAGTGCATATTCAAGTGCAGTGCATATTCAAGTGCAGTGCATATTCAAGTGCAGTGCATATTCAAGTGCAGTGCATATTCAAGTGCAGTCCATATTCAAGTGCAGTGCATATTCAAGTGCAGTGCATATTCAAGTGCAGTGCATATTCAAGTGCAGTGCATATTCAAGTGCAGTGCATATTCAAGTGCAGTGCATATTCAAGTGCAGTGCATATTCAAGTGCAGTGCATATTCAAGTGCAGTGCATATTCAAGTGCAGTGCATATTCAAGTGCAGTGCATATTCAAGTGCAGTGCATATTCAAGTGCAGTGCATATTCAAGTGCAGTGCATATGGTTGGGCGGCAAGCACGTGAGGGGGCGGCAGGGTGAGGCTGACCTTCCTGGGGTCGACGATGGGCTTGCGGTAGCCGGTCTCCCCGAGGCACAGGTTGGCATCGGGGAAGGCGGCGGTGTCGTGGCAGACGGGCCAGGGCCAGCGGTACACCATGCGCTCCACCCAGAACTTGCCCCCGCCCTCTGACCCCGCTCCAAAGTCCAGCGAGCACTTGGCGCTGGACCACCACAGCGACCCCACCGTCACCACTGCCGCCGCTGAGTGCGCGCGCAGGAAGGTGGGCAGGGCGGCAGGGTGCGAGCCGGTGAAGAGGAACTCGTTGAGCTCCGCCGGCACCACCCAGCGCGCCGTGTACCCCGCCCCCCTCACACAGTCCTGCTGCGCCAGGCCCTGCCATGCCCGTGCACAGGGGGCAGCGGAGGAGGAACACTCAGATTGGAGGGTTGACGGGATTGAGAAGAGAAGGCGGTGGCGTGGAAGAAGGAAGGGAGATGTGAGTTAAGATTGTGGCAGGATGCGGGCGTGCACCTCTCACCTTGCCCTGGCGGTACACCTCTCACCTTGCCCTGGCGGTACACCTCTCACCTTGCCCTGGCGGTACACCTCTCACCTTGCCCTGGCGGTACACCTCTCACCTTGCCCTGGCGGTACACCTCTCACCTTGCCCTGGCGGTACACCTCTCACCTTGCCCTGGCGGTACAGCTCGTGGTCGCGACTACCATGGAACGGCACCACCACCACCTCGCCACGCTCCACCTGCCCCTGCACCTGCTCCGCCATGCCGCCCTCCTGCCACGCCCCGTTGTCATACAGGACAACCCGTGCCACCCCCGAGAGGCGGTAGAACTCGAGGAACTCGTGCAGGGAGTGCAGGGGCACGGGGTGGGCGGGGTCGGGCGGCAGCGCGCACACGAGCACCTCCACGGGCCAGTCCGAGGCGGGCGGGTCCAGCGCGTCGTGCTCACTGGGGCGCTCACTGATGAGTGCGGGGGCAGAGGAGCGCATGGAAGAGAAGAGAGAGGTAAGGGGAGACGCACGTTGATCAGCGAACCATCACAGCCTCGCATGGCCTGGCCGCACTGGCAAGCAAATGTGAAACGCATGGTTGCAGTACAAAAGTACGCATGACGTTGCAAACGCAAGCGCTTTAGAAGACCTGTACAGCGCAAAGGGGTGGTCTACCTGTACAGCACAAAGGGGTGGTCTACCTGTACAGCACAAAGGGGTGGTCTACCTGTACAGCACAAAGGGGTGGTCTACCTGTACAGCACAAAGGGGTGGTCTACCTGTACAGCACAAAGGGGTGGTCTACCTGTACAGCACAAAGGGGTGGTCTACCTGTACAGCACAAAGGGGTGGTCTACCTGTACAGCACAAAGGGGTGGTCTACCTGTACAGCACAAAGGGGTGGTCTACCTGTACAGCACAGAGGGGTGGTCTACCTGTACAGCACAAAGGGGTGGTCTACCTGTACAGCACAAAGGGGTGGTCTACCTGTACAGCACAAAGGGGTGGTCTACCTGTACAGCACAAAGGGGTGGTCTACCTGTGCAGCACAAAGGGGTGGTCTACCTGTACAGCGCAAAGGGGTGGTCTACCTGTACAGCACAAAGGGGTGGTCTACCTGTACAGCACAAAGGGGTGGTCTACCTGTACAGCACAAAGGGGTGGTCTACCTGTACAGCACAAAGGGGTGGTCTACCTGTACAGCACAAAGGGGTGGTCTACCTGTACAGCACAAAGGGGTGGTCTACCTGTACAGCACAAAGGGGTGGTCTACCTGTACAGCACAAAGGGGTGGTCTACCTGTACAGCACAAAGGGGTGGTCTACCTGTACAGCACAAAGGGGTGGTCTACCTGTACAGCACAGAGGGGTGGTCTACCTGTACAGCACAAAGGGGTGGTCTACCTGTACAGCACAAAGGGGTGGTCTACCTGTACAGCACAAAGGGGTGGTCTACCTGTACAGCACAAAGGGGTGGTCTACCTGTGCAGCACAAAGGGGTGGTCTACCTGTACAGCGCAAAGGGGTGGTCTACCTGTACAGCACAAAGGGGTGGTCTACCTGTACAGCACAAAGGGGTGGTCTACCTGTACAGCACAAAGGGGTGGTCTACCTGTACAGCACAAAGGGGTGGTCTACCTGTACAGCACAAAGGGGTGGTCTGCCTGTACAGCACAAAGGGGTGGTCTACCTGTACAGCACAAAGGGGTGGTCTACCTGTACAGCACAGAGGGGTGGTCTACCTGTACAGCACAAAGGGGTGGTCTACCTGTACAGCACAAAGGGGTGGTCTACCTGTACAGCACAAAGGGGTGGTCTACCTGTACAGCACAAAGGGGTGGTCTACCTGTACAGCACAAAGGGGTGGTCTACCTGTACAGCACAGAGGGGTGGTCTACCTGTACAGCACAAAGGGGTGGTCTACCTGTACAGCACAAAGGGGTGGTCTACCTGTACAGCACAAAGGGGTGGTCTACCTGTACAGCACAAAGGGGTGGTCTACCTGTACAGCACAAAGGGGTGGTCTACCTGTACAGCACAGAGGGGTGGTCTACCTGTACAGAACAAAGGGGTGGTCTACCTGTACAGCACAAAGGGGTGGTCTACCTGTACAGCACAAAGGGGTGGTCTACCTGTACAGCACAAAGGGGTGGTCTACCTGTACAGCACAAAGGGGTGGTCTACCTGTACAGCACAAAGGGGTGGTCTACCTGTGCAGCACAAAGGGGTGGTCTACCTGTACAGCGCAAAGGGGTGGTCTACCTGTACAGCACAAAGGGGTGGTCTACCTGTACAGCACAAAGGGGTGGTCTACCTGTACAGCACAAAGGGGTGGTCTACCTGTACAGCACAGAGGGGTGGTCTACCTGTACAGCACAAAGGGGTGGTCTACCTGTACAGCACAAAGGGGTGGTCTACCTGTACAGCACAAAGGGGTGGTCTACCTGTACAGCACAAAGGGGTGGTCTACCTGTACAGCACAAAGGGGTGGTCTACCTGTACAGCACAAAGGGGTGGTCTACCTGTACAGCACAAAGGGGTGGTCTACCTGTACAGCACAGAGGGGTGGTCTACCTGTACAGCACAAAGGGGTGGTCTACCTGTACAGCACAAAGGGGTGGTCTACCTGTACAGCACAAAGGGGTGGTCTACCTGTACAGCACAAAGGGGTGGTCTACCTGTACAGCACAAAGGGGTGGTCTACCTGTACAGCACAAAGGGGTGGTCTACCTGTACAGCACAGAGGGGTGGTCTACCTGTACAGCACAAAGGGGTGGTCTACCTGTACAGCACAAAGGGGTGGTCTACCTGTACAGCACAAAGGGGTGGTCTACCTGTACAGCGCAAAGGGGTGGTCTACCTGTACAGCACAAAGGGGTGGTCTACCTGTACAGCACAAAGGGGTGGTCTACCTGTACAGCACAAAGGGGTGGTCTACCTGTACAGCACAAAGGGGTGGTCTACCTGTACAGCACAAAGGGGTGGTCTACCTGTACAGCACAGAGGGGTGGTCTACCTGTACAGCGCAAAGGGGTGGTCTACCTGTACAGCACAAAGGGGTGGTCTACCTGTACAGCACAAAGGGGTGGTCTACCTGTACAGCACAAAGGGGTGGTCTACCTGTACAGCACAAAGGGGTGGTCTACCTGTACAGCACAAAGGGGTGGTCTACCTGTACAGCACAGAGGGGTGGTCTACCTGTACAGCACAAAGGGGTGGTCTACCTGTACAGCACAAAGGGGTGGTCTACCTGTACAGCACAAAGGGGTGGTCTACCTGTACAGCACAAAGGGGTGGTCTACCTGTACAGCACAAAGGGGTGGTCTACCTGTACAGCACAAAGGGGTGGTCTACCTGTACAGCACAAAGGGGTGGTCTACCTGTACAGCACAAAGGGGTGGTCTACCTGTACAGCGCAAAGGGGTGGTCTACCTGTACAGCACAAAGGGGTGGTCTACCTGTACAGCACAAAGGGGTGGTCTACCTGTACAGCACAAAGGGGTGGTCTACCTGTACAGCACAAAGGGGTGGTCTACCTGTACAGCACAAAGGGGTGGTCTACCTGTACAGCACAAAGGGGTGGTCTACCTGTACAGCGCAAAGGGGTGGTCTACCTGTACAGCACAAAGGGGTGGTCTACCTGTACAGCACAAAGGGGTGGTCTACCTGTACAGCACAAAGGGGTGGTCTACCTGTACAGCACAAAGGGGTGGTCTACCTGTACAGCACAAAGGGGTGGTCTACCTGTACAGCACAAAGGGGTGGTCTACCTGTACAGCAAAAAGGGGTGGTCTACCTGTACAGCACAGAGGGGTGGTCTACCTGTACAGCACAAAGGGGTGGTCTACCTGTACAGCACAAAGGGGTGGTCTACCTGTACAGCGCAAAGGGGTGGTCTACCTGTACAGCACAAAGGGGTGGTCTACCTGTACAGCACAGAGGGGTGGTCTACCTGTACAGCACAAAGGGGTGGTCTACCTGTACAGCACAAAGGGGTGGTCTACCTGTACAGCACAAAGGGGTGGTCTACCTGTACAGCACAAAGGGGTGGTCTACCTGTACAGCACAAAGGGGTGGTCTACCTGTACAGCACAAAGGGGTGGTCTACCTGTACAGCACAAAGGGGTGGTCTACCTGTACAGCACAAAGGGGTGGTCTACCTGTACAGCGCAAAGGGGTGGTCTACCTGTACAGCACAAAGGGGTGGTCTACCTGTACAGCACAAAGGGGTGGTCTACCTGTACAGCACAAAGGGGTGGTCTACCTGTGCAGCACAAAGGGGTGGTCTACCTGTACAGCGCAAAGGGGTGGTCTACCTGTACAACACAAAGGGGTGGTCTACCTGTACAGCACAAAGGGGTGGTCTACCTGTACAGCACAAAGGGGTGGTCTACCTGTACAGCACAGAGGGGTGGTCTACCTGTACAGCACAAAGGGGTGGTCTACCTGTACAGCACAAAGGGGTGGTCTACCTGTACAGCACAAAGGGGTGGTCTACCTGTACAGCACAAAGGGGTGGTCTACCTGTACAGCACAAAGGGGTGGTCTACCTGTACAGCACAAAGGGGTGGTCTACCTGTACAGCACAAAGGGGTGGTCTACCTGTACAGCACAAAGGGGTGGTCTACCTGTACAGCACAAAGGGGTGGTCTACCTGTACAGCGCAAAGGGGTGGTCCACCTGTACAGCACAAAGGGGTGGTCTACCTGTACAGCACAAAGGGGTGGTCTACCTGTACAGCACAAAGGGGTGGTCTACCTGTACAGCACAAAGGGGTGGTCTACCTGTACAGCACAAAGGGGTGGTCTACCTGTACAGCACAAAGGGGTGGTCTACCTGTACAGCACAAAGGGGTGGTCTACCTGTACAGCGCAAAGGGGTGGTCTACCTGTACAGCACAAAGGGGTGGTCTACCTGTACAGCACAAAGGGGTGGTCTACCTGTACAGCACAAAGGGGTGGTCTACCTGTACAGCACAAAGGGGTGGTCTACCTGTACAGCACAAAGGGGTGGTCTACCTGTACAGCACAAAGGGGTGGTCTACCTGTACAGCGCAAAGGGGTGGTCTACCTGTACAGCACAAAGGGGTGGTCTACCTGTACAGCACAAAGGGGTGGTCTACCTGTACAGCACAAAGGGTTGGTCTACCTGTACAGCACTAAGGGGTGGTCTACCTGTACAGCACAAAGGGGTGGTCTACCTGTACAGCACAAAGGGGTGGTCTACCTGTACAGCACAAAGGGGTGGTCTACCTGTACAGCACAAAGGGGTGGTCTACCTGTACAGCACAAAGGGGTGGTCTACCTGTACAGCACAAAGGGGTGGTCTACCTGTACAGCACAAAGGGGTGGTCTACCTGTACAGCACAAAGGGGTGGTCTACCTGTACAGCACAAAGGGGTGGTCTACCTGTACAGCACAGAGGGGTGGTCTACCTGTACAGCACAAAGGGGTGGTCTACCTGTACAGCACAAAGGGGTGGTCTACCTGTACAGCACAAAGGGGTGGTCTACCTGTACAGCACAAAGGGGTGGTCTACCTGTACAGCACAGAGGGGTGGTCTACCGGTACAGCACAAAGGGGTGGTCTACCTGTACAGCACAAAGGGGTGGTCTACCTGTACAGCACAAAGGGGTGGTCTACCTGTACAGCACAAAGGGGTGGTCTACCTGTACAGCGCAAAGGGGTGGTCTACCTGTACAGCACAAAGGGGTGGTCTACCTGTACAGCACAAAGGGGTGGTCTACCTGTACAGCACAAAGGGGTGGTCTACCTGTACAGCACAAAGGGGTGGTCTACCTGTACAGCACAAAGGGGTGGTCTACCTGTACAGCACAAAGGGGTGGTCTACCTGTACAGCGCAAAGGGGTGGTCTACCTGTACAGCACAAAGGGGTGGTCTACCTGTACAGCACAAAGGGGTGGTCTACCTGTACAGCACTAAGGGGTGGTCTACCTGTACAGCACAAAGGGGTGGTCTACCTGTACAGCACAAAGGGGTGGTCTACCTGTACAGCGCAAAGGGGTGGTCTACCTGTACAGCACAAAGGGGTGGTCTACCTGTACAGCACAAAGGGGTGGTCTACCTGTACAGCACAAAGGGGTGGTCTACCTGTACAGCACAAAGGGGTGGTCTACCTGTACAGCACAAAGGGGTGGTCTACCTGTACAGCACAAAGGGGTGGTCTACCTGTACAGCACAAAGGGGTGGTCTACCTGTACAGCACAAAGGGGTGGTCTACCTGTACAGCACAAAGGGGTGGTCTACCTGTACAGCACAAAGGGGTGGTCTACCTGTACAGCACAAAGGGGTGGTCTACCTGTACAGCACAAAGGGGTGGTCTACCTGTACAGCGCAAAGGGGTGGTCCACCTGTACAGCACAAAGGGGTGGTCTACCTGTACAGCACAAAGGGGTGGTCTACCTGTACAGCACAAAGGGGTGGTCTACCTGTACAGCACAAAGGGGTGGTCTACCTGTACAGCACAAAGGGGTGGTCTACCTGTACAGCACAAAGGGGTGGTCTACCTGTACAGCACAAAGGGGTGGTCTACCTGTACAGCGCAAAGGGGTGGTCTACCTGTACAGCACAAAGGGGTGGTCTACCTGTACAGCACAAAGGGGTGGTCTACCTGTACAGCACAAAGGGGTGGTCTACCTGTACAGCACAAAGGGGTGGTCTACCTGTACAGCACAAAGGGGTGGTCTACCTGTACAGCACAAAGGGGTGGTCTACCTGTACAGCGCAAAGGGGTGGTCTACCTGTACAGCACAAAGGGGTGGTCTACCTGTACAGCACAAAGGGGTGGTCTACCTGTACAGCACAAAGGGTTGGTCTACCTGTACAGCACTAAGGGGTGGTCTACCTGTACAGCACAAAGGGGTGGTCTACCTGTACAGCACAAAGGGGTGGTCTACCTGTACAGCACAAAGGGGTGGTCTACCTGTACAGCACAAAGGGGTGGTCTACCTGTACAGCACAAAGGGGTGGTCTACCTGTACAGCACAAAGGGGTGGTCTACCTGTACAGCACAAAGGGGTGGTCTACCTGTACAGCACAAAGGGGTGGTCTACCTGTACAGCACAAAGGGGTGGTCTACCTGTACAGCACAGAGGGGTGGTCTACCTGTACAGCACAAAGGGGTGGTCTACCTGTACAGCACAAAGGGGTGGTCTACCTGTACAGCACAAAGGGGTGGTCTACCTGTACAGCACAAAGGGGTGGTCTACCTGTACAGCACAGAGGGGTGGTCTACCGGTACAGCACAAAGGGGTGGTCTACCTGTACAGCACAAAGGGGTGGTCTACCTGTACAGCACAAAGGGGTGGTCTACCTGTACAGCACAAAGGGGTGGTCTACCTGTACAGCGCAAAGGGGTGGTCTACCTGTACAGCACAAAGGGGTGGTCTACCTGTACAGCACAAAGGGGTGGTCTACCTGTACAGCACAAAGGGGTGGTCTACCTGTACAGCACAAAGGGGTGGTCTACCTGTACAGCACAAAGGGGTGGTCTACCTGTACAGCACAAAGGGGTGGTCTACCTGTACAGCGCAAAGGGGTGGTCTACCTGTACAGCACAAAGGGGTGGTCTACCTGTACAGCACAAAGGGGTGGTCTACCTGTACAGCACTAAGGGGTGGTCTACCTGTACAGCACAAAGGGGTGGTCTACCTGTACAGCACAAAGGGGTGGTCTACCTGTACAGCGCAAAGGGGTGGTCTACCTGTACAGCACAAAGGGGTGGTCTACCTGTACAGCACAAAGGGGTGGTCTACCTGTACAGCACAAAGGGGTGGTCTACCTGTACAGCACAAAGGGGTGGTCTACCTGTACAGCACAAAGGGGTGGTCTACCTGTACAGCACAAAGGGGTGGTCTACCTGTACAGCGCAAAGGGGTGGTCTACCTGTACAGCACAAAGGGGTGGTCTACCTGTACAGCACAAAGGGTTGGTCTACCTGTACAGCACTAAGGGGTGGTCTACCTGTACAGCACAAAGGGGTGGTCTACCTGTACAGCACAAAGGGGTGGTCTACCTGTACAGCACAAAGGGGTGGTCTACCTGTACAGCACAAAGGGGTGGTCGTCGATGGCGATGGTGAGGTGCCCCCCGGTGTTGGGCACATCGGCATCGAAGGAGGCGGTGACGAGCATCTCCTGGTTGTGCCCCGGGTTGGTGACCAGCGAGTACGTGATGCCCGCCGTGCACGGCAGCACGTCGTCTGACGCGTGCCAGCTGATGGGGAGAAAGGAACAAGAGAGAACGGTTGGCCGGGGAGACGAGGGAAGAAGGCACACGTGAGCTCATGCATCCTCTGTGAAACAGTGAAACCAGGAGTGCACTCGACCACACGCGTACAGGCGGTTGGTGGCACAGGCATGTGCCAGGCAATGCGACAGTCACGCGTGCATCCCCCCTTTTCCTCACCTGCAGTTGCCCACCGCGCGAGTGTGCTGCAGGTCGGTGGGGCCAAACCCCACCGCTGCCAGCTTGCGCGCCCCCATGCGGTACCCACTGGCAGGGCATGCACGCACATGGGGATAGGCGGCACACGGGGGATGGGCGGCACACAGGGATGGGCGGCACACGGGGGCAGGCACACACACAGAGGCACACACACAGGTGGGGGGGGGCAGAGAAGGTAAGGGGACGGAAGAGGTCAAAGGAAACAGATGAGTGGAGGGGGGGAGCATTAGTCATAGAACGAGGCGGTGCAGTGATGCACGGTGATGTACTACCAGTAGCACAGGCCTCAGGTGGGGTGGGTGGGGTGGGTGGGGGTTCACCTGAAGCGAGTGAAGGAGGGCGACCCTGCAAAGGCATGCTGCGACCACTTGCTGGCGTCTGATGGGGGAGAGAAAGTGGGTGGACGGGTGCGGTACAGAGGGGAAGGGGGAAAGAGTTGACGCAAAGACTAAGGGTTGAAGTGCACACCAGGTTGGGAAGCGAGAGGAGATAGAGAGGGGAGGGGGCATTGAATCACAGAACACTGGAGGCACTGAAAGGGCCGAATCGGGGAGGAAAGGAAGAGGCAAGTAAGCAGGCCGGGGGGGTGGGGGTTTGGTGGATATATGAGCGAGAGTGGTGCGCGCAGGAGGCATAAGCGGGTGCGGTGCAGGCGGGTGATGACAAGGCTCCACCAGCCTCCGCCGCCTCACAGGAGACATGCCGGGCTAGCGAGGCACATCGCCTCCACAGCTGTGGCCCGATCCGCTCGCATGCGGCGGCAAAGAAGGCAGCTTAGAGATGCTGTATAGCGTGTGGCGGGCTGTTCGTGGCTTGTGGCGTGGGAGCGCGTGGCACGTGGTGGAGCAGCAGCACACGAGGCCCGTGGCAACGGTGGACCTCAACTCTCACCGCCACCACGCGCAGGTGGCACAGGTTGTTGCATTCACCCATGAGCAAGCGCCTACTAGTGACAGCCCACTCCCACACCTGCCCAGTCCGAGGCTCGCTGTATGGGCGCCCAGGCCCTTCATGGGCACCCAGGCCCTTCATGGGCACCCAGGCCCTTCATGGGCACCCAGGCCCTTCATGGGCACCCAGGCCCTTCATGGGCACCCAGGCCCTTCATGGGCACCCAGGCCCTTCATGGGCACCCAGGCCCTTCATGGGCACCCAGGCCCTTCATGGGCACCCAGGCCCTTCATGGGCACCCAGGCCCTTCATGGGCACCCAGGCCCTTCATGGGCACCCAGGCCCTTCATGGGCACCCAGGCCCTTCATGGGCACCCAGGCCCTTCATGGGCACCCAGGCCCTTCATGGGCACCCAGGCCCTTCATGGGCACCCAGGCCCTTCATGGGCACCCAGGCCCTTCATGGGCACCCAGGCCCTTCATGGGCACCCAGGCCCTTCATGGGCACCCAGGCCCTTCATGGGCACCCAGGCCCTTCATGGGCACCCAGGCCCTTCATGGGCACCCAGGCCCTTCATGGGCACCCAGGCCCTTCATGGGCACCCAGGCCCTTCATGGGCACCCAGGCCCTTCATGGGCACCCAGGCCCTTCATGGGCACCCAGGCCCTTCATGGGCACCCAGGCCCTTCATGGGCACCCAGGCCCTTCATGGGCACCCAGGCCCTTCATGGGCACCCAGGCCCTTCATGGGCACCCAGGCCCTTCATGGGCACCCAGGCCCTTCATGGGCACCCAGGCCCTTCATGGGCACCCAGGCCCTTCATGGGCACCCAGGCCCTTCATGGGCACCCAGGCCCTTCATGGGCACCCAGGCCCTTCATGGGCACCCAGGCCCTTCATGGGCACCCAGGCCCTTCATGGGCACCCAGGCCCTTCATGGGCACCCAGGCCCTTCATGGGCACCCAGGCCCTTCATGGGCACCCAGGCCCTTCATGGGCACCCAGGCCCTTCGTGGGCACCCAGGCCCTTCGTGGGCACCCAGGCCGGGCCCTTCATGGGCTGGCCCTGGCCCAGCATACCCTAAATCTGTTGCCGCCGCATTCCTGCCAGATGCGTGGCGGCAGGCACTCTTCACGGCACCTACATGGACGTATTGTCGTTGAGCACAACACACCCGCCTTGAGTTGGCTGGCACCACGTCCTCACTGGTGTCACGAGCACCAACCAACCAACCACCACCACCTCACCTGCCAAATCCCCATTATTCGCTTGCTCCCCTTCATGCTGCCCCTGCTCTTGCTGCTCCTGCTGCTCACCCTGCCCCTCCTGCTGCTCCCCCTGCCCCCCCTGTTGCTCGCCCTGCCCCTCCTGCGGTTGCTCCCCGCCCTGCGCCTGTGCGCCCTCCATGCCGCCGATCACCTCCTCAGCCGCCTTCAGCACGTCCCCTCCGCCCTCCGCCTCGGCCGCCACCGCCCGCTCCAGCCGCGCCACGTCGCCATCCGCCTGCCCCGCGCCACCGCCACCCTCGCCACCCACGTGGCCCTGGATGTGGGCGAGGCGGCCATCCAGGGACACGAGCAGCTTGCCCTGCTGCCGCACGGCGAGCACGAGGTCGTGCAGCGCCTCGTGCGTCTTGTGCGCCAGCTGCAGCATGTCCGCGCCCCTGCTCGCCTCCAGCATGCCCTGCAGCTCCGCCACCGCCTCGCTCTGCCGCTGCACCTCCCTCACCACCACCGCCATGCCCGTCTGCGTCTCCGTCACCGCCGCCACCACCACCGACGCCTCGCCCGCCCCCACTCCTCCACCCGCCCCGCCCGCGCCACCGGCCGAGGCGGCAAGGGCCGTGGCGTCGCCGGTGGCGAGGGTGGTGCCGGCAAGGGACGTGGGCGGCAGCACGCGCGTCTCAAGGCTGGCGATGCGCGTGCCGAGCTTGGCGACAATGGCGGTCTGGGCGCGCACGGCACGCAGCAGGCTGAGGAACGCCGTCTTGTTGCGCACCTCGCCCACCAGCGCCCCCACCACCCCCTCCATGCGCCTCTGCTCCCCTCATGCCCCGCACACGGGCGCACGGTGAGTGGGGAGTGAAAGAAAGTGAGTGGGTTGTTGATGCAAGTGAGTGTGGGCACAAGGGGCGTCTAAGTGGGAAAGCAGGTGCGTGGAGGTTCACGCAATGAGACGGCAGACAGGTGTCAGCAACTTCAGAAATTGCACCTCTGGTTCTTTGCAACCATCTTAAAGCTATCGACCACAACAGATTCCACTCCCTTATCCTTCGCAACCAATCCCCCAAACATCATGTGAAGAACTCAAATATAATCCGTGTCTCGCCACCTGCTCCTCTCTCTGGCTTGCCGCACTCCCCCACCTGCCCTCCCACACCTGCCCTCCCCCACCTGCCCTCCCACACCTGCCCTCCCCCACCTGCCCTCCCACACCTGCCCCCACCTCCTCTTCCCCCGCCCCCACCGACTTGCCTCTCCCCCCGCGTGCCCACCTGCCCCTGCAGCACGGCGTCCGTGAGCCCCGCCTTCTCCTTGGCGCGCAGATGCGCCACCAGCGCCTTGAGCACCGCCAGTATCTTCTCCTCCTGCCCGCCCACCGCCCACCGCAGGGCGCATGGGGGACACAGGGGGACAGTGCAGCGAGTGGGCAGAGCAGGTGAGAACAGAAACAGGTGTGAGAGCAAAGAGAGGTGCGAGAGAAGGGTAGAGGAGGGAGAGGAAAATGAGGAGGCATGTGCGTGCAGAGAGCAGGGGTTGAGTGAGCGGCGTGAGCTAGTCAACAACACATGCCCTTGTTATGCCTGCCACCTGACACATGAGCCGGCGCATGGTGTGACAGCAGCAGGGAGGAGGGCCGGATGTCAACCATGCCCTTCCACTCACCTCCACTCTCCCTGCCTCCACCTCTGCATCTCCCCTCTCACCTGCGGAGTGGCCTCGCCCCCCTTGAGCTGTGCCTGTGCGTCCACACGCTCCGCCAGCCCCTCCACCGTGCTCTGCGCCCCCACCCGCCAGTGCACCCCGCGCCCCATGCACAGGGCGAGGCATGCGGGGGAGGAGAGAGGAGTGATGGGATGGGAGCAGCGGGGGGATAGTCGCACTTGAGGTGGAGGAGCGGAGAGAGGGAAGGCGCAACAGAGAGGCAACGGCAGATCACGGATGTGTGCTCAAATTTGTAGCTACGCTAGCGTGGCAGGGAAGGCGTGGCAGGGAAGGCGTGGCAGGGAAGGCGGCAAGGAGGGGCAGCGAGCGGGAGAGCTGCATGTGCTTCTTGCCTCACCTGCAGCGAGCGGGAGAGCTGCATGTGCTTCTTGCCTCACCTGCAGCGAGCGGGAGAGCTGCATGTGCTTCTTGACGGCTGACACCACCTCCCTCAGCGTCTCCGTGCCCAACCCCCCCTCCTCCTCCTGCCAGCACGGGGCAGCACAGCGCACGCAATGGCACGGCATGTTATGGCACGACAGGCAGGGGCATGGCACGGATGGCATGGGGTGGGTGGGTTGAGTTGGGGGTGGGCCGAATAATATGTGGGGGATATGTGGGTGTGGGTGACGGGGTGTGGAGAGCAGTGCAAGGCCATGGAGTGGGGCCTATGCGGTTACAGAGATATGGGAGCAAAGGGGGTATGGGGGCTATGGCGCTGTGGGACCAGAATGGGGGCATGGGTGTGTGGAGGTGGAGAGGGGCTAAGGAGCACGGGAGAACATGGCGAATGCAGGGCATGATGCAGTGATGGAGAGAGCGGCAGTCATCTCGTGCCACCTGCGTGTCGCCTCAGCACTCACATCTCTGGCAGCCAGCACTCACATCTCTGGCAGCCAGCACTCACATCTCTGGCAGCCAGCACTCACATCTCTGGCAGCCAGCACTCACATCTCTGGCAGCCAGCACTCACATCTCTGGCAGCCAGCACTCACATCTCTGGCAGCCAGCACTCACATCTCTGGCAGCCAGCACTCACATCTCTGGCAGCCAGCACTCACATCTCTGGCAGCCAGCACTCACATCTCTGGCAGCCAGCACTCACATCTCTGGCAGCCAGCACTCACATCTCTGGCAGCCAGGCGGCCCACTTGCGTGACCAGCTTGCCCACCGCCTGCTCCGTGCGCCTCTGCTCTCCCATAGGGGCGCGTGGCAGCGCAGCACAGCACCACATGCATCACACACACGCACAGGGTGCAAGAGACACACAGGAGCCGTCGTGAGAAAGAAACACACAGGGTGGTAAGTAACACCCGTGTGCTCTTGTTTGCAATCTTGTTCCTGCCCCACCCAAGACCCTACAACACCCTTCCACCACTCCATACCTGCAAGATTTCCCAGCCTCGTGCACATGTGAATCATCCCAGCCTCCAAAGTAAGGATTTCATTTGATCTTTCTGGAGATGCTTCTGCCGAATCACGACTACAAGTCGGGTACGATTTCTTCTTTTCTCAGCATAAATGTGTGTAGTGGGTGCTGCTACATGGTATTGAGTATAGCAAGGATATGCCACGGATATACACACTTCACACTCCAATCAAGGCGAACAGTCCATTCTCCCAACGGAGGTAATGGTCTTACCTCCTACAGGCTTATAACCTATCACCAATTCCTCACATTGTAATTGCGTCGAATCATTGCCGGTACAACTTGTTTATAATGTGTGAGTGAGCACATGAACACACACGGATGAAAATCCATGACACCAATTTTCAAAGATTCTCACACATTACAAATTCACAGAGTCGAGTAAAAACCGCACGTCTCGATTCAGACTTGACTCAATTCAGTCACGACGAGTCAACCTGACTTGACTCACCTCACCTCATGCTCACGCATGTCTAGGTGAGATTGCACATCACCAAGTACCAAAGTACCGGACACACAGACAGTAGTTCGGTTTGATGCAAACTAATTCGCCTCGAACCATACTTTTTATTTTCTCCTAACATGAGATTCAGTGCAGTATCAGTTAGTTCGACGCGTTTCTGGTTCGTGTTGAGCACAAAACTGAACCGAACAGGTTCGGGTCAAACCTAAAAAAATCGGCTCAAAGTTACAATTTGACCCAAATCGAAGCAGTTCGGTCTGGCCGGTTTGCTGTCTTGACGCTGCTCGAGTTGAGTACTTTCTTCTCATGTCTTCTCGAGTTGGTTACAATGTCTAGGTGTTTCCCCACCCTGCCCCACTTCACCGTGGCATGGCAGCACAGCCACCTCTGCTCTGCTGTCCATCCACCGGTCCCACCCCCTCACAGCCAACTCAATGCGGCCCGAGCTTGCCTGGAATCTGAGGGGCTGCGCCCACCAGCGACCACACCGCACCTGGGATGGCACCCACCTGGGATGGCACCCACCTGGGATGGCACCCACCTGGGATGGCACCCACCTGGGATGGCACCCACCTGGGATGGCACCCACCTGGGATGGCACCCACCTGGGATGGCACCCACCTGGGATGGCACCCACCTGGGATGGCACCCACCTGGGATGGCACCCACCTGGGATGGCACCCACCTGGGATGGCACCCACCTGGGATGGCACGCACCTGGGATGGCACCCACCTGGGATGGCACCCACCTGGGATGGCACCCACCTGGGATGGCACCCACCTGGGATGGCACCCACCTGGGATGGCACCCACCTGGGATGGCACCCACCTGGGATGGCACCCACCTGAGATGGCACCCACCTGGGATGGCACCCACCTGGGATGGCACCCACCTGGGATGGCACCCACCTGGGATGGCACCCACCTGGGATGGCACCCACCTGGGATGGCACGCACCTGGGATGGCACCCACCTGGGATGGCACCCACCTGGGATGGCACCCACCTGGGATGGCACCCACCTGGGATGGCACCCACCTGGGATGGCACCCACCTGGGATGGCACGCACCTGGGATGGCACCCACCTGGGATGGCACCCACCTGGGATGGCACCCACCTGGGATGGCACCCACCTGGGATGGCACCCACCTGGGATGGCACCCACCTGGGATGGCACCCACCTGGGATCGCAGCCCCGCGGCAACGAGCAGAGTGAGGTTGGAGGTGGTGATGGCGGTGTCAGGCAGGGGCGGGGCGGGGGGCGCCATGACAGCAGAGGCCACCTCGCCCATGCGCGCCCTGAGCTCCGCCAGCACCTCCGCCAGCTGCGCCTGCTGCTGGTCCACGTGCTGCCCCACGTGCTCCCTCACAAAGTGCGAGTGGTTGCGCAGCTCCGCTGCCAGCTGGCGCAGCTGCACGGTCTGCACGGCCACGTGGTCCGTGACAGCGGCGGCCACGGAGTAGGTGTGGTTCTCCAGCGCCGCCACCAGCGCCTTCAACTCCACCGCCTGGTTCGTCGTCTGCTCCGATATGCTGCCAGAGGAGAGGCAGGGCGGGCACGGCATGGGTATCGGGAGGGCAATGGGGGAAGAGGGGGCATGGGAGGGCAATGAGGGAAGAGGGGGCATGGGAGGGCAATGAGGGAAGAGGGGGCATGGGAGGACGGGCAAAGTGGGAGAGGAAGCGCAAGGCAGAGGGCAGCACGTCGTGTGGCGCCGTGTTGAGCGGCTGTGGCCGGCATGGCAGGCGCATGCTGCGATGCATGGCAGGCGCATGCTGCGATGCATGGCAGGCGCATGCTGCGATGCGCCACCGCTGGGAGGGCAGCGCGCGGGGAGAGTGGGTGGCCAATGGAAGGAGCGAATGAGACCGTGAGAGCATGAGAATGTAGGAGTCTAGGAGTGTGGAAGTGTGAGAGTGAGAGAATGTGAGTGTGAGTGTGAGAGGGAGAGAGTGAGTGTGATGGGGGAGAGAGTGAGTGTGAGAGGGAGAGAGTGAGTGTGAGAGGGAGAGAGTGAGTGTGATGGGGGAGAGAGTGAGTGTGAGAGGGAGAGAGTGAGTGTGAGAGGGAGGGAGTGTGAGTGAGAGGCGGGCGGTACCTCTCAGTGAGGGCGAGGGCGATCTGGTCCATGCTGGCGAGGTGCCGCGCCACCAGCATGTACTGCCCACCACGGGGGGCGGGGAGGGGAGGGAAAGGGGGGTCCAGTGGGCGATGGGGGGAGGGAAGGGCCATGGGAGCGCGGAAGCGGTGGGAAGAGGAAGGCGAGGGTGGGCGAGGAGGGAGGGGTGACACGGCCGTGGCAGCAGCGGCTGCAGCGATGGCAGCAGTGCCGATGGCAGCAGTGGCGACGGCAGCAGTGGCGATGGCAGCAGTGGCGATGGCAGCAGGACTCGTACGTGCACGATTGCGTATGTGCCCATGCACGCGTGGTGCGAGGGTGCGAGGGTGGGTGGGGGAGGTGGAAGAGCAACGTGCAACGGACGCCAACGAGCGCGCACGCACGCCCAGGGGGGCACAATGACGCCCACTCCGGGACCAACACTCACATGCCACATTCGTCTCACGCCATTCTCTTTCCTTCAAGCCATGCCACGCCATAAACATCTGCGCGCATCACGATCGTTCACTCACGCAAGCTCCTTCTATCTCACCGCCATCGTGTCGTTTCGTCTCACCATGAGCGCGAGGCACGCCGTCATGATGACGCTGACCGTCACCACCAGCGAGTGCTGCAGCGGCTGCTGCGCGCGCAGCACTCGCGTCGGCCCGCCGCCGCGATCCATGGCGCCTCGCCGCCTCGCGTGGCGCCTGGGAGTGTCGAAGCGGGCGAAAGCGGCGGGCGCTCCACGCTGCGCGGCCCGGCAGCTCGGCGCGCCTTATCCGGCTGGCAGCTCGGCGCGCCTTATCCGGCTGGCAGCTCGGCGCGCCCTATCTGGCTGGCGGTCGCTCGTCCAGCGGCCCACGCGAGGCTTGCCTTCCCGACGATGACGGACTCCGACGGAATGCTGCGGCGCGCGATGGCTATGGTTGCACTCGCGCTGATCGGATCTACCTCCCGCGAGTCACACGCAACGCGGAACGGCACCGAGCCTTGCGCATTGTGGAGGAATATACATCGCTTGAAACAAAACTTTTCGTAATAGATAAAGAGGCTCAATAGTCATTCTCTGAGACTGCTCGTGGCTTGGCTCACCTAGCTGCCATCCTCGTCGCCGTGTGTGATGCTGGTTGGCATGGTAGTTGTGAGCAAAAGTGAGCTAAGGTAGTTGCGGGAAGCACCCAAAGCCCTTTTGGGAAAGGAGACTATTTTCCAGACATTTCTAGCATTGCCTTAGTAAAGAAAAAATATATTTAGAAAGTTTTTCTTGCATGTAGCAATTGGCAATCATTTCAAATGCAATTGACATTTTCTCATTTCAAACGGCCTAGTACAATAAAAAATTCAAGCAGTGACATTACATTAGCATGCATGCACGTTACTATTGTTACGAATAGTAAATTACGAAGTACTGTGCACTCCTATCGGTAGCAAGCGAGGAATACAATGAAGAGTACGAAGGCGTAAAGTCGAAGGGTCGCGTACGGTTAGGCAGCATCTGGACCGTCGGAGCAGAAGCATCGGGCAGCTGCAGTGGCGAGGATTTTGGCGGGAACAGGTTCGTAACCCTCTCAAGTCGCACGGTTGGGTCTTGCAGCAATAAGGGAATGTTGTACCCCTTAGCGTACATGGCTAGTCTAGGTCGTTTCGTATTCCCCTGTAGTCTTTGTCGTGATATATATTCCGCTGTTCACACTCTTCACATGGTATCATACGTTAGGTTAGGATCGATCCTAGCTCCTAGGCTCGTTACTGCCCGCGCGCCCTACCCAGCGCGCCCCTGCCCCGCGCGCTGCCCTGCTGTCCGCGCGCCCTACTGCCCGCGCGCGCCTGCTGCCTGCGCGCGCCTGCTGCCCGCGCGCCCTGCTGCTGGCGCACCCTGCTGCCGGCACGCCCTGTTGCCGGCGCGCCTCTGCTGCCCGCGCGCCCTGCTGCCCGCGCGCGCCTGCTGTTCGCGCGCGCCTGCTGCCTGCGCGCCTCTCAGAATCTACATGCAACGGAATGATTGGGATTAGGGTTTGCAAGCATACAAATAGGAGTCCTACAAATGTTGTACCCTCTAGGGAGTGCCTCACTGCAGCCTATCATAACATTAACATTTGACACACCCCCATAGGCTAAGTGAGGGACACCAGGGCAAGCAAGGTGAAACAAACGGTCACAAGACCAGTCAAGGCAAGACAAGCTCAGGGTGGATCTCAAGGACACCACACAAATTCCAAGCACAAGCAAGCGGCCACAAGGCCAGTTCAAGAGTTCACTAGGATATAAATAGGAAAACACAACAAGCAGAGCAAGCAACAAGACTACAGCAACCGGGGGCCTACCTCAACAAGCCCCAACTGCACACAGAACCTGTGGTGATCACCAAGCGCCAAGGCCTTGGTGAAGACGTCTGCAGTGTTGGCCTCTGAGGCCACAAAGTCCAGGCGTGCCTGGCCGCGTCGCTGCAGCTCTCGCAGGAGGAAGTGCCTCACGTCAATATGCTTCACTCTGCTCTCCAGTCGAGGCTCTCGACAGAGGAGGATCATGGCCTTGTTGTCAGCGTACAAGGTCGGTGCAGAGCGAGGCCGCTCACCAAGGTCGGCGAGCAAGAAGGTCAACCAGCGAAGCTCCTGTGCCGCCATGGCACCAGCGTAGATCTCTGCCTCTGCACTGGAAGTAGCCACAGACGACGACCGTGTAGACCTCCACGACACAGCACCAGCTCCCAGACTGAAGCAGTAACCCTGAGTCGAGCGCTGAGTCTCCACGTCGTCAGCGTAGGAAGAGTCACAGTGACCAGTCAACGCCACTGGCTGAGTCCCTCCAAGCACAAGCCCCATGCCTGATGTAGTCGCCAGGTACTTCGCCACCCTCACAGCAGCTGTCCAGTGGACAGGACGGTGTCTCCCAGTCGCAACAAAGTGAGAGAGGACGCTGAGGGGAAAGGCGAGGTCCGGCCGAGTACAAGTCATCAGGTACATGAGGCAGCCCACCAGCTCTGCGTAGGGACCACTGGACTCAAAAGGCTCGTCGGGAAAGGGGCCAGTGAGTCTGTGGTCAACAGCAAGAGGAGTGGGCTGTGTGGTGGAGAACTGGAAGTCGAACCGCCGAAGGACCTGCTGCACCATGTGTGACTGCGTCAGTGTGATGGTGCGAGCGGCTCTGTCCCGGGTAATCTGCAAGCCAAGGTAACGCTGCAGCTCACCCAGGTCAGTGCACTTGTGTCTCTTCTGCAGTTTGAACTTCACCTGAGCCAGGGCTGCCCTGTCTGCTGTAGCAAACACCAAGTCGTCGACGTAGACAAGGATAAAGAAAGGAGTAGAACCCGCTCGAACAAACAGCGACGGGTCGGCGAAGGACGGGCTGAACCCAAGGTCACGAAGCGTGGAGCGAAGAGTGTCGTGCCACTCACGGGGCGACTGGCGGAGACCGTAGACTGGTCGCCTCAGGCTCCACTGGGTCCCAGGTGGGAAGGTGTCAGTGAAGCCAGGAGGACGGCGCAGCCAGATCTCCTCGTGCAGTCGGCCCTGGAGGAACACAGTGGAGAAGTCGAGGGAGTGCAGCTCGTAGTCTCGCTGCGCTGCTATGTGGAGTAACACCCGAAGAGTAGTCATCTTCGGGGTCGGGGCGAAGGTCTGGAAGAAGTCAACTCCCTCACGCTGACTGAAGCCCCTAGCCACGTAGCGCGCCTTGAACACCGGCGGTGCTCCAGGCGGCCGCTTCACCTTGAAGAGCCACATGCCATCGACTACGTTCGCCCTGGGAGGGGGAACTGCGTCGACGCAGGTGCCTGTGGATCTCCAAGACACCAACTCTGAGTCCATAGCCGCTTTCCACTGAGAGGCCCACGCCCCTGACATTGCCTCGCGGTAAGGGCGTCGGGGTCTCCCTCAGGGGAGAGCAGCATGGCACACACAGAGGGAGAAGCGGCTGCCCAGTACTCCATCTCAGACTCTCTGTCCTCTAGGACGTCACAGCCAAGGGCAAACTCACCCCCGACGGACAGAGGACGGTAGGGAGGAGCTGGCACCACACGGGTGGCGTAGTCAAGGCGGTTGGCCGCAGCAAACTCAGCGACAGCGGCAGTGAGAGCAGAGACCGACGATGGAGGGAAACGAGAGTCGGTGACAAGAGTGGCGAGGACACGTGCGGCAACAGGACGAACAGTGCGGTAGTAGTCAGTGATAGGAGTGGGGAGGGCTGGGAGAGAGGACGGAGGAGGAGACGGGAGAACGGACACAGGAGAAGGAGAACGACGACGAGACGTACAAAGGAGGGCAGTGTGGAGGTCAGTAACAGGGGACGAGTGACGAGCACGCGGAGGACAACGAGTGACTAAGTCGCGACGGACCGAAGGAGGAGGAGACTGGGGAGGAGGAGAAGACCAGACCGCCGGACGGTCGTCAGGAGGAGGCAACGGAGGAACAAACACAGGAGGAGACTGGGAGCGGACAGGAGGAGAGGAGGAAAAGCCAAGGGCCCGCAGGCCACGCACAGGTGGGAACAATTGCCGCTCCAGAGGAAGCTGCGGTGGCGGCTGCGGCTGCTGCGGCGGCGGCTGCGGCTGCGGCTGCTGCTGCGGCTGCTGCTGCTGCTGCTGCTGCTGCTGCTGCTGCTGCTGCTGCTGCTGCTGCTGCCGCTGCTGCTCCAGAAGGTCCAGCACCCGCAGCTCCTGCCGCTCGGAGGCGACGCGACGGGCAGGGGGAAGGGAGGCGACGCGACGGGCAGGAGGAGGGGAGGCGAACGCGACGGGCAGGAGGAGGGGAGGCGACGCGACGGGGAGGGGAAGGGGAGGGGTGGCGACGCGACGGGGAGGGGGAGGGCGCGACGGGCAGGGGGAGGGCGCGACGGGCAGGGGGAGGGCGCGACGGTCAGGGGGGAGGGCGCGACGGGCAGGGGGAGGGCGCGACAGTGGGAGGGGCCGGGCTAGGCGCGCGGTGAGGGCGTGGAGGGCGCGGAGGGTACTAACGTGCGGAGGGCGCGGAGGGCACGAACGTGCGGAGGGCGCGGAGGGCACGGAGGGGCGGGCCGAGGGGCGCACTAAGGGGCGCGACGTGGGGCGGGCTGAGGGCCGCGCTAAGGGGCGCGAGGGCGCTAGGAGCGCGGAGGGCGCGGAGGGCGCGAGGCGTGACGGAGGGCGCGGAGGGCGCTAGGCGCTACGGAGGGCGCGAGGGCGCGGAACGGAGGGCGCGCCGGCTAGGGCGGGGAGGGAGGATCGATACCTACTCTGATACCATCTCAGAATCTACATGCAACGGAATGATTGGGATTAGGGTTTGCAAGCATACAAATAGGAGTCCTACAAATGTTGTACCCTCTAGGGAGTGCCTCACTGCAGCCTATCATAACATTAACATTTGACAGCGCCCTGTTGCCCGCGTGCCCTGCTTCCCATGCGCCCTGCTGCTAGCGCGCGCCCTGCTGCTAGCGCGCGCCCTGCTGCTAGCGCGCGCCCTGCTGCTAGCGCGCGCCCTGCTGCTTGCGCGCGCCTTGCTGACCGCGCGCCCTGCTTGTCAGAATGAGAACAACGGAATGGTGTGTGATTAGCAGCAGTGAGATACAAGTATGCAACCCTAAATGGGTTGTACCCTCTATGGGCTACCCCACTACAGCCTACAAGCATATAGTGCATTTTGACACACTCCCATAGGCAAAGTGGGGGATAGCAAGAACAACCAACGGTCACAAGACCAGTCAAGCAAAGAAGCAAAGCAAAGCAAAGCTCAGGGTGGATCTCAAGATCACCACGCAGTCTAAGCACAAGCAAGAGGCCATAAGGCCAGTTCACATGCAGAATTATAAAAGAAGAAGCAGTACAGTGATCACAACCTAGCAAGAGTAAGCATGCGGGTATATGTATAGATCACAGTATAAGGCACAGTCAAGAGGTAAGCAAGTGAGGCAGAGTAGGCACAAGGGCCTTGGTGAAAATATCAGCAGTGTTGGCCCGCGAGGCCACGTAAGTAAGGCGGAGCTGACCACGCTGCTGTAACTCTCGAGCGAGGAAGTAACAAAGAGCAATGTGCTCCGTTCTGTGCTCCAGTCTCTGCTCCCAACACAAGGCAATCGTGACCTTGTTGTCGACGTACTAAACCGGAGGAGAACGAGGTTGCTCACCCAAGTCTGTCAGCAAGTATGTCAGCCAGCGTAACTCCTGAGCAGCCATAGCCCCGGCGTAGATCTCGGCCTCACAGCTGGAACTAAATACAGAAGACGAGCGGGTGGACCTCCAGGAGACAGAACTAGTGCCGAGACTGAAAGTGCAACCCTGTCACGACCGCTGAGTCTCCTGGTCGTCGGCCCAAGAAGCGTCTGAGTGTCCAGTGGGTACAACCGGAACCCGTCCTCCAAGCACGAGCCCCATGCCCGATGTACTGCACAAGTAACGCAGCACCCTCCTAGCAGCCCGCCAGTGCTCTGGTCGGTGTCTCCCGGGCGCAACTTAGCGCGCCAGGATGCTAAGAGGGTACGCAAGGTCAAGTCGAGTGCAAGTTATCAGGTACATGAGGCAGCCCACAAGCTCTGGATACTGACCATTCGGCTCTACGGACTCGTCCGAAAGTGGAGCTGAGAGCGAGTGGCTTGTAGGCAGAGGAGTGGCCTGTGGCGAGGAGAACTGAAAGCCAAAGCGCTGAAGGACCTGGTGCACCATGTGTGACTGAGTCAGAGTGATGGTGCGCCGTGCTCTGTCCCGGGTGACCTGCAGGCCAAGAGAGCTCCGCAGCTCACCCAGGTCAGTGCAGTCTCTTCTGCAGCTCCGCCTTCGCAAGGGCCAGTGCCTCGGTGTCAGCAGTAGCAAAGACCAAGTCGTCGACGTACACGAGGATGTAGAACGGCGGCAGAGAAGGGTCGGTGCGCAGAAACAGAGACGGTTCAGAAGTCGAAGGAGCAAACCCAAGAGCCAAAAGTGTAGTCCTCAGTGTGCCGTGCCACTCGCGGGGCGCCTGGCTGAGACTGTAGACTGGCCGCAAGAGGCTCCACTGGGTACCCTC